GCGCGCGCTAGGGATGTCAGCATCTGTGCCATTTAGATTAGTTATTGATTTAGGAAATCTTCACATTATTCTCAGCCTGGGCTTACTCCTGTTTTATAATTCACTAAAGGTCTTGGCACCTTAGACTGCTCTTGTAGAAAGTCCCAGCTGTCCTTGAGGTCTCATCGGTAGTCTCATTACATTTTTTCATGTAATTGTCCTATTTGTGCAGCACAAAGCTTTGAATCTACAACATTGTTCTAACAACAAAAAGAAAAAGCACCTTTGCTTGATTTATCTGGGCAGTGGCACCGAGAAGGAGAAATATCTTGAAGGCATTTGGTCTTCAGAGTTGAAAGCAGAAGGCACTCCCTCTTTCTCCATCCATCTATTTCTCCTCCTGATTTATGATGTATTTTCCTTGGGTTTCCTGCCTGTCTTCTCGTGGCCATGAGCAATGAGCTGGTCATGAATATTTTGGGCCGGACAGCTTGCTCACGTGTTGGGCGCACGCAGTCACTCTCGTGCATCTCGTGTCGCTGCCTGCAAGCCTGTCCCCGAGAATGGATTGCCAGGGTGCCAGCACAACACACAACTGTTGAAATATTTAAACATCGGATCATTACTACGTTTACCATGTAATTACACATGCTCATTTGGTATTCCACCTCGATTTGAGCGTGCATGTGCTCGGTAGATTTGCTGTGTGTTGCTGTACAAGCAGATATGCGCCTGCACAACACCCTCGCCTGTGTGCTGCACGTAGGTGTGTATGGTGCGGTTAGTGTTTTGCGAATCCCCATGTAGTCTTTGAACAGGGCTCTGTGTATTATTGTGATCTTGTGTGTGTTCACAGCTGCTGTTTTCCTGGACATGGTTCTGGTAACACCCTGCGTAATTCTCCCCTCCCTGCAGCTCAGATCAATACAGTTACTGGGAAAATTGAAAGCTTTATGTTGCACATATTACTGCAATGTCAGAAAAGTGAGAGAACGGACTGCGTTCATGCAAATCCTGTATATGCTGTTACATAACAGGCTTTTACCTTTTCTGTAGAGACTATAGGCAGAGTAAAATGTAACAAAACACCCCCACAAATCATATTTTGCCTAGAAAATGCTTTTTTTATAGGACATTTTGAATAATCAGGAAGGTTATACAGATATCTTCTAAATCTTGTTAAAATATTGACATGTTAATCTGGTCTAAAACTAGCAGATGTTGGATTGGAACTCAAATTTTGAGAACAAAGATGTTTTACAGGATATGTTTTGTGTTTTCCACTTTTAATCATTTATTTATCAAGATTAAAACGTGTTGCACAATTCTGCAGCATCTACCATTTCAGCTGTTTCACCTTCCTTTTGATTCCTTTGGCAATTTTCAATTTCTTCAATAAAATAAATTAGCTTCAGCATTGCCCGTTAATGGAGGGTACTCTGTTACAATTTTATTGTTACACAGCCCCACTTGATAGCAATGATAATCTTAATATGTGTTATATTGTAAAGAAAAGACTACAGACTACAATAAATTAATGATGAGTGTTTATAATTGTATTTTAAGGATTACAGTTCTCTCTAAATTAAAGTTTCTGTTTAGTTTTTTTTAAATTAAGTGTCACATTTGAAATGCCCCGTTGCCTCACAGTTTAATTCTACTCCGATCAGTCAGCTTGAACCAGTTTGACCTTTTTATTATGATCTCCTGTTTATTATGATTATTATATCCCAACAGACACTGAACATTGTGTGACAGATCCCCAGGAGGGCATGTCCCTAAGCACGAAAGAACATGAAAGCACCTTACCAGACACCAACAATCAAATTACTTTTGAAGTTGCTAAGATTAACCTCCTTGCGCCATCCTAATTACTGAATCTGTTGGGGAGAAGCAGCTGAACCTGATGACCTTGTCTGTATGGTTTTATAGTTATAAGTCGACTAGCTTACTTTTTTTTTTTTTTTGCGGTCATTTAAAAGCCATGATTAAACATTTATGAAAACTGTTTTTTAAATATTTTTTCTATCTTGTCCACATGCGTAAGTATGTTTTTGTGTCTCTCTTTACATTTTCAGGAGGTTTATCAGCAGCACATGGCAAAGGAGCCTTATGGACTCAATCTGGCTGAGTTTCCCTCTGAAGATGACCTACTCATTTACCAAAGGTAAATCTGAGCTACTAATTACATACAAGGGATGAAAACTATAACAATATGTAATAACATATATTCAGTAGTCATCATATCACAGATACTGGCCCACAATTTCACTCACGCAATCTCAGCAATATTACTTTAAATTTAAAGATGGCCATCCATCCATCAAAGAATCTGTTGACATAACATTTAAGCAAACTGGGTAATCTTTATTTTTCCCACTCAAAGACCTTTTGCTATACAAAATAGCTTCGTTGCCTGAACTTAATCACCTCTTCCTTCTTTTGACTGCTTCCTTTAGCGGTTGCCACAGTGGATCATCTTCCTTTATCCTCACCCCATCTCTAGCATCCTCCTCTGTCACACCCTCTGTGTGTCCTCTTTTGCAACATCTGAGGTTTTCCTCTTTTTCTACCGCTTGGCAGCTCCATCTTCAACATCCTTTGTACACTATATCTGCTATCCCTCCTCTGCACATGTCTGACCATCTCAGCCTTTTCTCTCTAATTTTGTTACCAAACTGCTCAACCTGAACTGTCTCTCTGACGTACTCATATCTGATCTCGTCCATCCCGTCACTCCCAGTGAAAAACTTTACATCCTCATTGCCTGAACCTAACCTCGTAATGACAGTGAAAACAAAAAAAACAATGCAAATGAAAATAAGACAAAGGCACCAGCACACATCCAAATACTCCCACTGCAGGTGCATCAAGGCGCTGAGTATTTGGAGCTGATGAGAATGCACTTTTTCACACTGAACAAGTGTGTCCTTTTGGACTGTAGTGTAGTGGTGTCGTCAAACTGGAAAGATTGCGTCAGGAATATTATTGTGAAGTGGCGGTCTTGTAAACTGGACATGACAGGAATACAAGGAGAAAATTACATTACATTGTCACTTAGAGTTGAGGGGAACAGATTCAATTTTGGTGGTCAAACTATGTGACTTCCAAAGAAATTGTATATTTATAAGATCAATATTAGAAATAATATTTATAATAAAACTTTTGCACATAGCTAGTAAGCCAAAATTAATTGTCTTGCAGTTTCTCAAGAAAGAAATTGTGACCACATTTCAGATTTTTTTTGGGAGGGGGTGAATTGATTTTTGTGGCACTAATGTTTACTGCCCACCTGTTAATTTCATTTAACCTCCCAGGACCTGGCGTCCACATGTGTGGACATCACATTTTGGGATGTCTAGACGAAAATAGTTAATTTTTCTCTACAAGGGCCTGATATCCACTTACGAGGACATTATACTGCCACTGTTAAAACCATACGTGGATCTCATTTGTCTCAGAAACAAAAATTAGGTTAAAAAAAATCTGGTAATTCTTTGTTTTTACATTCATCAGGTCCCAATCAACTCAAATGGCCAAGAAAAATTTAAAATGCATGCCGTGAAAGAGTTCAGGTTTTAGGAGGCTAATGTTTATATTAAAAGATTGAGCTGCAAATCTGGACTGCGTAATAAAATGAAAATGTTTCCATTAGTCCATTAATGCTTCAGTCACACTAAGAAAAACTGTGGTTGGAGATACAATTATTGCTATTTGGAGTCTCTTTGCCTCTGAAATGTTTTTTTTTCTTCAAAGTTTTGGTGCATCAAGACAGCAATAAAATGCCAATAAGACAGAGAGACTATTCTGTCATTCTGCTATCAGTTTGCAAGTGAAAGGGGTCATGTTTGCATCTGCAGTCTGCGAGTTACTGAATTCCTCAATAAATAGTGATGTAGTTGCTGTAGGATGGCGATTTAACTGTAAAAAGACTTAAGTGCTCGGCAGCCCTGCTTTCATTTAGGAATATAAGCAGTTGAGTCAGTTCCCACATTGCAAAGAGACTAGTAGCCAACATCAGCACATACTACCTCAGATGGGTTGTACCATGGTGATAATCTGTGTGTATATATTAAACAACAATTATTTGCAAATCTTTGATAATCTGAGAGCGACTGCAGTCAGTCAAGCTGGGCTGTGATTGTTTGGAGACAGATTGTGTCCCATTAGGGGACGTGTTTAATCATAAAATCATGATTCAAACCCTCAAACTTTAGTTACTGATACTACAATCAGTGCCCGATTGAAGGGTTTGGGGTCGTCACATGGGTCATATGGCCTTCAAATAGTTTTTCTTTTTTAACTTCCTACCTTTTAGAAATGCATCTCAAACTTCTGTTCTTTTATAGCTCTATGCCACGGCTAGCAATTCTTGCTACCTTTCAGAATGACCATGATCCGCCATTGCTATAAAAATGAAAAAATGGTCCATTGAAGTGAACGGAGTCTTCCATTCAACAGCTCTGGTTGCAAGAAGGTTGCTGTCCTAATTTTATTCTAGTCATAAGATGACTAGGCACTGCTGGAATGTTAAAGTGAAAAGGTTTAGCTTCCTAATTTACTATTTTAGCGTCAACGACAGACATTCAGATCAAATGTCAAAGTATTGGACAATCTGATATTTTCACCTGCGGATGCTGCTCAATAAAAGTAGTAAAATCTATGAAGTCTACTTTATCCTGAATGAGGCACTTAATATTATCAGTCAGAACAACGCAGTGTTCAAGACACAGGGGCAGAACAGGCAGCCACCCCCTCAGGGTGATATGGGTCATCCTGAAAACAGGCATCAACCAGGCGGGTTTATCACGCCTCTGACCTCACTATTCTTTCTCCACCTTTCCCTTCCTTCTCTTTTCTGCAAGTCCTTTCTATTTCATTTTGTACTTTCTCCCTGTTTGCTGCCAACACTGATTTAGGACACAGTGAATAGCCATCAGCAGGCTTTGAATCTGAACACAACTGTCTGTCTGTTCTTTGGAAGCTTACAGCACGTTTGATACAGAATGATCATTGGATGAAGCTTTGATAGCTTTTTCCCCCTCACACTGCTGTCCTAAATCCAAAGAGGATGACTGAAGTAGAACTGTAGATGGTGGATAGTTATTCTTTTAAGAGAATCTTTGCTGTTTATAGAGTAAGTGCACATTATAGTTTGGAAAAGACCATGTGACTGCAGACCTCAAACACACTTCAAGGCATTGCAAGAACTGCTGAAGACCATAAAATACCAATGGGCACCTGACACCTGACCTGGAACCCATTGGATAAAAAATGGAAGATTTTTGGAACATTGTGCAAAACCTCAATTTAAGATAAGACAAACTTCTTGAGTTTATGTGAGCTCACATCCAAGCTGTCATTAAAGCAATGGGGGCCATACATGCTATGTGTTTATTATATCAGAAGATATGTAACATGAGCTTTCATCCTCTCATGTACTGTGCTGTGCAATAGTTTTTAGCCACGCCTCACTATTTTATTTTATCTTTTTATCTGGCAATTAGATGGTCAGTTTGCTATCAGATTGAATGGAGTCAAGTTGGGAATTAAACACAATCTTGTTCTGATATAACAGTGTGGTAACTTTGCAAAATTTGCAACTGTTACAGTTTGCGTACATAGAAATTCAGATTGAACAGAAACCTGACCAATAACTGAAATTCTTATACAAATGTTAAAGTAAGATGGACGTTTAATTGCGAAATGATATAAGTGTTCAGCAACCTTGCTTTCATATTGCAGTGTAATCAAAATACAACAGTTGGCAGCTCATTGAGTCTGCTGATTCAAAGAGGTGCCCTCATTCCTACACACTGACTCTGACTAATTGCAACATTTTGGCGACCTGTTTGCATTTATAAATGAGGCAGCAGTTGTTTATGAACCTTTCAAAATGTTTCTGAGTGATTGTTGGTCAAGTTGCAAGTTGGTCTTGCAATCAGTCGCAAAAGCAAAAAAATAAAATGCAATCACAGATTTATTTTCTAGTTGCAAAGAGGTTGAATGGTAAATGATTTTTATATAGCACTTTACACTGTATGCCTCATTCAGCCATTCATACAAGCACTTTTTTCAATGCTCCTTTCTATTGAACATTCACAAACAACCAACCTTGCAATCAGTAGATGACCTCTGAGCTACAACTCATGGCATCCAATTTTTACTCTGTCACCAAGTAGATGAAACTACTTGCAGCACAAAAAAAACAATTTACTTGACTTGAAACTGCCAATCAGATTAACTTAATTTTCAGCACTTCTATCCGGTCGTTAAGTGATGACGTGACGAATCCTACTTCCGGGCCTAAAGTAGTCTGCGTTTAATATGGCTTTTGTGTTGTTAACATGTTTAATGTTTATGTATTTTCTTCTATTTAATCTCAAAAAGCTCCTAAAACAGTCAGTGATCACTGTTGACCTCCCTCGGCTTTTATTACCGCTAATCATTTATTTAAGCTCAGTTTTTAAAACCTTAGGATGTAACTACAGCCCAGCCCATGCAGCAGTATATGAATGACTAACCTCGTATTGTGGATGGATTATCTCAGTTGTTCTCCTGGCTGAAGTTTGGTCCTTTTACAGCATCCTGCCATGCGATTACATTTGTTCCTGACCACCGAGAACACTCACGTTAACTTTTATCGAGTGGAAAAAAAGTTAGCTTGTTTATATTATGCTAACATAGCTGTGTCGCTAGCGGTCACGTAGCACATCATTATATACCAGCTAGCCCAACTTCAGTAACCCTACAAACGTCACTGCTGTTTAGTTTTCTGTCTTCATTTATGTGGAAGTGATAGCAGAGCTGTACGTTTTAATTTGTTTCCAAAACCCCGCAGTCAGGACATGCTATATTGTATTTAGATAGAAGCTAGCGAGCTAACTCCCTGCTAACTTCTAACTCCGTTAAATGTCATAAATTCCGTTTTCATGGATGCCTGGATGTTAAACTCAATTGTTACACCTGGTAGAGCAGAACGCTGATCATTTTATTAAAGATGAAAGATTTAGACAGTTTTAATTGTTCCATGATCTGATGACCTCAGTTTAATGCCATAGTGATCGTTTGATATATGGACCTGCAGCGGAGTTTAGGCCCAGACATGGCTAGTAACGTCAGACTTAACGACCGGATAGAGAAATGCAATGTAGAAATGAAAACAAAAAAAAGCTTGAATAGATCAGAATGACATGGAAAAATCAAACATTTGAATGTCATAAACATCATGAATCAGTCTCACACACACACCAAAACACTGAAACTGATGCATACATTTAAAATACAGCATATGCATTATATAGAAATGTGGCATTGGTCAAGAATGTATGAGCAATTTCTAATAAGTTAGGTAGTTAACGTAACAATAAATAAAATGGTCCTGACATTTAGTTGTTACCAAAACATTTATTTATTTTAACATCTTCACTGACTTAGGTCTGTATTCTGTCTCATCGCACTTCGATGGCAGTCACATTTATACTGGGTGACTAAAGCAGGGGAGTAAACCTTAAAAAACACACACAATTCAAATTGCGGTGAAGAATGCTGTTCATATTCTCCTACTACAGTGGCACATAATGAGAATGAAATTGCATTCATTATTGAAGTTGAAACTGCTCCAAAGATGGTGGCTGCAGCCAGTGCTCTGCTAATCAATGCATTAATATTAAAAATCATAAGCAACAGCCAGAGGGGGACTCTCAGCAGTTGCATATTATTGAGTCTTTGTGAGAGAAAAATGACCTACAGGGAAATTTGTGATTTGATGATGGTGAGATCTAAATATTAGCGATCTCAGAAGACAAGTTGAACACTGAAGACAGTATGAAGCCTTAAATTGAAAGCATTCGGTAGAGCCATAACGACCCTATTACAGATTAGGGTTATTTGGATCGTTCCGCTCACGATGAAGAGGGCAGAAGCATTTGTAAGCAATGCACACCTACACTACTGGCTTATTTTGCAGAAATATCATTCATTGTCTGTATTATGTTTTGTATTTTCCTGCAGGTTTGCTCACTTGGGTGAGAGCCAGCACAGAGTGGAGAGAACTGAACACATAAACCCGGCAAACATCATCTGTCTGTGAGTAAAACATATTAATAGAAAAAAGGGGGGGAAAGCCACATGTACTCAAACTCAATAAACCTGGCTCACGTGTAATGTATGGTATTGTATTCTTGGTTTGCAGTTATAAATGACCCCTTTTATAAAGCACTCAACATTTTCACTAGCCTTGGGAGAAGGATTGCACTACTAAGTGGTCTCAGTCGAGGCTTCTAGCTGCGCACTGTTTAATTGTCATATGTTCTTCACTTCTTTGCATACACGCTATTTCCCAGACAGTCCACTCTTTACCGTAGATGGTGTTTGTTTGGTTTTTTTCCCTTTTTTTTTTTTTTTTAATCCCTCAGCCAGATTCAAAGTTCAACCACACGTGTGATGGCAGTGTGCAGCCATGGAAACACACAAGATGTTTTTGTCGTGCTGTCTTTTGAGCTGTAAGGCATGCATGCACACACACCTGTGCAAACACATAGATCAGTTTAGAAACAAATTCCTCCTCTACATGCACTTGTGATTTTCTTACATGATGGCTTCTTATATCAACATTCATACCTGCTAGGTTTTGTCTTCTTGTGAAAGTGCAAAAAACTTGTTTGAACATTTAAACTTATTGATGGTCCTTGCACACCTCCAGTTTTTAGTCTGTTTAAATCGAACTCTGGTGCAGTCCGTTTGTGCTGATTTGAATGCTGTAATCGCATGTAGGTGCGAGCCAAAACAACCACACTAAGACCCTTTGGAGGAGGGGGCCCCTGTGTGGTCCCAAATGAACTCCAGAGCAGTCTGTGATTCTGTGAACTTGATTTGACCCCTTTCCAAACCTACTACCAGGTATACATTGCAAGTTTGAGCTAAAAAAACCTTCCTGTAGCTACATGTGCTTTGTGTTCTGGGATGCAACAAGGCACAATCGATGTGCTGGGGTCTGTATCCATTAGCAACCATCTGTGACATGAGCAGGAATTCTTCATTTTCTGCAGTAGATCAGAACACAGCACCTTCTTACTGTATTTACTGCTCGCACCCTAGACATATATGTCCAATAAGCAGACTGAATATTCTGTAATGATACATTTTGGTTTGCTTGCAGTTCACTTGGATTTTTTTCTGTGTGTAAAGAAACCAAATCATGTGGAAAAGCTACAGCTTTACAACCCCCCTAAAATTACTTACTCATTTTGAATCAAGTAAATACTAATTTTTTTTGTCCTGGCAAGAGTAACTATAAATAACTCCCGCACTCGCCTTCCCAATTTCATATATGTTGTACATGGAAAATTCCCATCTTTCAGCCGCTGTTTTCTCTTTTTAAAAAATTGTCTTTCTGTTTATAGTAAGACAATTTGCCTATAACAAATCTCCATTAGTTCAGCATCCAAAGCCTCCCAAAGCAGAAATCACAGATTGATGTTTTTAATCATGTTTTTATGGATTATACAAACGAGATATGACTTGTTAATTTGTGACGATTGGCAGGCAGAGTCCATACTAACTCGCAGTTGGCGCTAAGACACGGTTTAGTTTAGAGATTTCAAATTTTACATATTTAGAAGTTTTGATGAAGAAGTACAGAGATGATCAGAAAGAGCTGTAATGTGTCGTTTTGGAAAGCATGTGAAAGGATTTTATAGGATACCAAGAGAAGAGCTATGGTACTGTATGAGGAAGCATGTGATGAAATATTTAATTGTGGTGCAGGACACTGAACCCCTCTTGGCAGTGGTCATGGACAGCCTGGCAGATGAGGTCAGGCAGGAGTCACTGTCGACTGTGATGTTTGCAGTGAGATTAGGGAGGGAGGTGGAGGGAGCTCCTTGCAGTTGTAGTAAAAAAACGGCAAAAAAAAAAGGTAGTAAAATCTCGCTTCAGGAAAATAAAAAAACACTTTGAGACACATTGATTACTAAGCAAATGTTCCTGAAGGGAAAATGGCTTAGAGACTGCATCAGAGGGAATTGGTAGTGGTTGTATTGTTCAACAGACATTATAGAAATGATAACTTTTTACAGAATGAAAAAGTGCAAAAGTAGGATAGAAATTTCACGAATTAGTTTTCTTTCCCTTGTTATGTTTGAATGCATGGGTGAGAGGTGAGAAAGGTATTCACTTTCAGTTTTCTAAGAAGACCATGAATGCGACTCGTTATCATCGCCAGTAATTTCCTAGAAAACCAGATCGGTTGTAATTCGAACCGACTAAGTTTGATGGTCATGTGGAACTGAAGAGGATATGGACAAGAAATGGTCACTTAGAGGAAGACTGACAGAGGCTGACAAAGACACAGTGGGGACATGTAATCAACTTGGAGGAGGAAAATTCAAGGATGATGAAAGACATGCCTCTGATGTGTTTCTAGTATGTCTTTGGTGTGTGAACCGTTTTTAAATGTGAAAGTTTCTTGTATGTATCCCTTCTTACAGAACAGGAGAAAATTTGTAATTTATCTTACAAAAGTGGCAGAAGTATCAATATTTTCTTTTAGGAAATCTCCATCAGCAGGGAATCAAACCTTTTCATCCACGTTGTCTTTCTCTCTGGCCTTTCAGTAGTCCATCCAGCCATTGTTGTCATCCTCGTGTCAGGCCCGCAGGGTGCTACAGGTGTGTCTGTTGTTGTGCAACAGTGCTATTCTAAGATGTTACAGCACCCCAAACGTGTTGTCACTGTTAGAAGCCTTTTAGAGTGTCACCTCCCTCTATGTTCCTCTATTGATCCATCAGGCTCAGCCAAAGATGACTCAAGTGACGGAGATAAAAATGGAAAAGAAATGAATACTGTAGCCCATTCCTGTTGAGAAACATTAGTGAGGTGTAGAAATTAATGGCCCTCTTTTCTTCCTCTGCTCTCCTCTCACCCCAGCTGGTTAGGACAGATGGCCGCCCACCATGAATCTGGTTTCTAAGGTTTCTACCCATTAAAATGAACTTTTCGGCACCACCAGGGCAAGTGTTGCTCATGGGAAGATTGTTTGATTTCTGTCTTCAGTATTGGAAGGTCTTGACCTTAAGACCTGACTGTACTCCGTTGCAAATTCGAACACGGACAGCTGGGGGCTCAATGGCCGAGTAATCATTCCTTTTACACTACTTTCAAGTTCGCCGCCTGAGGTGTATGAATCGTTGGTGCGCTGTAAATCCTCCACGGACAAATCCACGTGGTGTAAACAAACAATAGGCTGGCACGTGAATATCTGTATGGACCTTCATGCTGATGATGAAATTTATATCACTTGGACTGTAGCAGACTCATGTGGAAGGTATAATTGAGGCTTTTCTATGCTCTAAAATAAGTTGTCTTCTAATAAGGCAAATGTAATGTACAAATTACAGAAATTAAACAGTTTATACAGTAATAGTAAGCTCAACAGGCCAGAAGATGAAGTTTGAAATATTTGAAAACACAAACATATTTACTTGAAATGTTTTCAGTGTTGTTCACATGGTTTGTAGGAGTTTGTAGACACATTATACTTCTGCTTTATATTATGTGAACAAGAAAGTAAGAAATAAAAATAATTTTTATGGGTAAAAAAAGGTCTGCTTCTAATAAAAATTCACAAATCTTGTCAATACTGTTTGAATAAGTTTGAAAATAGCCAAATTGTGACCCATGTTTCCAGCTCTGTACACGCAACTTATCAAATTTCTTGCTTGTTTAACTAATATCAGCACTATTCATGTGACAATGTATTAGGGCTAGTGAAAGTTTAAAATAATATTTTCAAGATGATAGTTTTACAAGGAAATAATAGCAAATTTAAGAGGATAAAAGAGGCAAATTTATAAAAAAAAAAACAAAAACCTCAAATTTAAAAGGAAAATATATCTGAAAAATATACCAGTAATCAATATTGCTTCACTTTTCATTATTAAATGCACATATTTAAACTGCCAACATCAATATCTCATAAGAACTTTATTTGAACACCAGCACCACCTCTTTATAGTCGTATTAAGTCACACTGCAAACTGTGAAGTTCATTTTCAATCAAACATATTGTCCTCTAACCTCATCTAACAGCACCAGTTTCTTTGTGTAGCAGGCTGTGAAACAAGTGAGACTTGTTAGAGTCAGATCTCTCCAGCAAGTCTCAGGTGTGTGTGTAAAATCCACTCAAAGTTCTGATGAATCTGTGCCACAGGAATCACTCCTCCTGCTGCATTGGGCAGATTTTAATCAAACTTACACACAGTAATCATCACGGGGCTTTTCGCCCAGATTGCGCCTAAAGGTCACGGTCATATTTGTTATTTTATGGGCAATAAACAGTGAATTGTAACAGATTGCGGTTTCTCAGTTTATGATGAATGAATGCATCAGTCAGTAGTTTTCATTTTCCACATTTTGCAATAAAAAGCCCCAAAACAACAATGCTATTTGTTTTCTCAACTTGGCCTAGAGATATTTTTTACCTTCAGCACTACTGACTAGTCTGTGTAATTAAGGATTCTTACACAGCAGCCTTGGGAGGGGGGTTGTAGCCATATACTCTATGGCTACAACGTCCTCCACAGCTCATAATTTATCTCAAGGCTTCCGAGAGCCTCCGCTGTGCCTTTGAAAACAGCCCATCATGAGGCAGGTGCCATTTGAAATGCGGCCATGTGTCTAAACAGCCTCTCACTCAGGCCTCAGCTGTTGTTGGAAGCCTAACTGAATAGATGACTTGACAAGCACGCAGTTGATAATTCACCCAGAAGATGGTAAGACATGCTTTAAAATCTAGTTTTTGGAAAATATGAGTAATACTGCTGTGAAAGCACTCATCTTCACCCTCCTCGTGTTGTTTCCACCTCTCAGCAGCAATTTACAGTCTTTTGTTGGCTCAAACAAACTCCTTTCCACCTCTTGTTTTTGCCTTGTCTTAAGCCACGTGATTTGCCTAAAGTTAATGTATATGGTGATACACCAATCACACATGCTTCTCTCCCATTTTTCTTTTCCTTCTCTCTTAGAGAGCCAGTGTCCTGCTTCCCAGAGGACAGCATCTATGCAGTTTTACCTCCACAGGTGGGCAAAAACAGCCAGGAGGTATTTGAGGGCCATGTGATGACCGGTCAGGGCCAGGTGAGGGCGTTGTGCAGAGAGGACATGTTGATGTACAGGGAATACATCAAAAACAGATATATGTGAGACACGGATAATACAGACTGGATCTCTGTTACCAGTGTGAATGGGAAGCACGATCAGCTGCTGAAGATGTTTCGTCGTCATTAATCATGTTTGCTACTACAAACAAATGCAAAATAAAATGTTCTTCTATTTGAAATTGATGTGTGGGGTTTTCTATGGTAAAGGCTGTAAAAAAACAAAGATAACAGTGCATGAGAACTCCGCTTGGCCTGTACTTGAACTGAAGAAAGGGTTTTTTTTTTTTATAGAAGTCTTTTTATTTTTTGCGATCCACAAGCGTCATTCAAAATTGAAATACTTTGAATGTTAGATTTATCATTCAAAACTGTGCACACATTAAACTGCATCACAGACTGGAGTTCAGGGGTTTGAAAGAGTCGGGCAGTCGTTATAGTCTGTGAGGTCAGGACACGTTCATGTCCTTGTCTTTCCTTTGAGGGTTTTTTTTTTATTTTTTTTTATTTCTTCAGCAACCTGGAAATTTCTCCTCCTCAGATGTGCTGCATTCCTTTTGTTAAACAGTTTAAGCTTTACCATTTTTAAAGTGGCTTTTGAGATTTTTTTTTGCATTATTTAAAAATAGGGGGGTTTTGTCCTGTATTGAAGAGTGCACTGGTTAATTTAAATAAACTGTGTCTTCTTGTGTTGTTAACGATCTGTACAGAAAAACGTAGCAGTGATAGCTTGATATTTGTTTTTTCAAACCTTGCCACCAGTTTACAAAGTCACACACTAATTTATGTTGCATAAATGCTCAGATCGGATAATCATTGTGTACATTAGTTCTACAATAAAATTGTATTTGGTAACAAAGTAACAGTGTGACAGAATGTTATTTGAGTTTTGGGTTGTTTTTTTTTTTTTTTTTTTTTTTACTTTTCCACTTTTTCTATTGGCTGCCAGAGCTTTTATTGCAATCTTACTTCACTCTTTGTACAGGTAGAAACGAAAGTACCACAAGTTGTTTTGAACAGTAGTTTTTTGAGAAGGTCTTTTAAAGTCCTCTTTTTGACCTTGGTTACATATTCACTCATTTTCAGGTCAGTCTATGCACCCGGCTGCTTTCATCATTCAAGCCATCATCATTCAAATCAAATAATTCAAATACCAAAGATAACAGTTTGGGTTTCAATTCCCAAAGAACTATTATATGAAGACTTTGCATATAGGTATGCCAAATTACACAAGAACTGGACTGTAACAACAGGTCTTATGGAGTGATGAAAAATTTCAAAGAGATCCAGATTTTAAACTTTTGGTTCAAACCATGGGTCGTGTGTCAGGAGAGGTATAACATGAGTGCCATCTGTAAAACATAGTGGGGGCTCTGTAACAGTTTGGGGTTGCATTTCAGTCAGTGGTGTTGGAGCATATGATAAAGAAATGATGGGTGGCTCAACACTTTTGCACAGTACTGTAACGCTTGCTGCTTTCACGTGGCCTTTTATAAGTGTTCCCACTCTCCTGTAGTGACTTCTTCTTGGTTCTTTTTCCCCCATCTTGCACCGCCTTTGCCCTTTTTTCTGTCTCACGCTTGTTTTCACTCTCTGCTCACTCTTTTAGCGCTCGGCCTTTGACTGCGGGTGTCAAAAAAAATGGCAAACGTGATGAAGGACGGCTTCCCAGCAATGCACATACACATTCAGTAAATGTACTGACTGGCCACTGGTCTCAGCATCACTGCCTCGTGAGTGTGTGAATAGGGGAGGAGGTGCCGGCTGTCTCAGCATGTGATGTGACAAAGAAAGCAGAGGAAATAAAGGCGAAAAATGTTTTCTTCTATATTTTAAGAAATAAACGACGAGGAGGAGAACGAGAGGAAGGATGTATCTTCAGTATCTGCACACCTTGCACGGGTACACTGGAAATTGTTAAATATGTGCTATAAATATCCATGATACAGTCCGATAATGACACATCCCACCTTGCAGGAGACTCTTGGAGTCTTTTCACATTGTTGCCTTCACAAGACCACAAGAGGGACATGAGGGAGGCTTTGTCCTTACCTTCAATGCTACAGTGTCACTGGGTTTTGCTAAGAATAACAGCTGTGGAAAGTTTATTATAAAAAGTGTTCATGCTTTGTTCGTTTTTTTTTTGTTTTTTTTTTATACACTCAACATTTCTTGTCCCGAGTATTATGTGCTTTGTAAAGATTCTACATTCACTGAACTTTTTAGTTTTACAAACTTTTAATTCAAGGCCAACAGATATGTGAAGGCTTTATATGCGTGCCAGTGAATCCTCACAGATCTCGTGCAGGCATGTTAGTTTTAAAAAATGCTTTGATGTGAATACGTTTTGCCTTTAAAACAGAATTCTTGCCTGTTGCCTTGTTGATTGTTCAAAATCTGCACAAGTCTAAGAGACAGTTGTCCTTAGACAACTATAGAAATGAACTATAGACTGTAATATTTAAAAAAAAAAAAAATGTTGATAGCCATATCCATCTAGGTCTCTGTGAGATTAGGCATGACCAAATATCTAGACAAAAGGGCTATGGGAAGTTGTTAGCCATTGCCAAGTAGCAACTTCCAGACCTGAAAATGGCAGCTAGAGGCTTGATCGTAAAGTTGATCCTCGTAGGCTCCCATATTAAAATGCACAACAGCATTAAAAAGCCAGGCCTTAGTCTCTGTGGATAGTTTACCTTTTGCCTTCAGAACTGCAGCACATCCACGATGCCAATTTCCTGTTCCACCACATCCCAAAGGTGCTCTTCTGGATTGAGATGAGGTGACTGTGGAGGCAATCACTGTTCTTTTTTTTCATTACTTTGCACGTTCTCCCTGTGTTTGTGTTTGAGTCCTCTGGCTTCCTCCCACAGTCCAAAAACGTGCAATAGGTAGGGTTAGGTTAATTGGTGATTTCGAATTGCCCACAGGTGTGAGAGGGAGTGTGAATGGCTGCCTGTCTCTCTGTGTTAGCCCTGCAACAGACTGGCATTGTGCTCTCTTTTCTAAATTTAATATCTTCTGGCTGCAAAGAACCAACATGGCGGTGTCTGATACCTATTGATGAGGCTTAAAAATATAGTGGGCTGACATCACGGTGGCTGTTTTAATTACAGTCTATGACTAAGGCTAGTGCTGACTAAATAGCTTTATTAGCAATTAGCAACATTCACTAGGAAAATAACAGGAATGAAACAACACGAAGAGCTGACTCAGTCTACTGAAGTCTAAACAAGAAGAATAGCACGCACCTAATTTTTTAACCACTTTATTTACGCACAACTTTAAATCTGAATACAGCCTATGGGGTTGAGTTATACAATGCCAGTTCTGAAAATGATGTAATCATAGTCCAATCAAAAGTTAAAATAAATGTATTTGCAAATTGCATTGCAATAGTTTAAGAGTAGAACATAAAACACATCAGATAAACTTAGGAAATGAACAGTTTTACCAAAAAATAAATAAATAAATTTTTATTTATATAGCACCTTTCAAGACAGTCACAAAGTGCTGCACATAAGATTACAAGTCATAAAAAGATTTAAAAAAAGAAAATAAAACAGGCAAAAAATTAACCAAAAGCAGTTTTAAAAAGGTGAGTTTTGAGTTGTTTTTTAAAAACAGCTACTGAGTCCACAGTTCTTAATGCTTGGGGGAGAGAATTCCACAGCCTAGGGGCCACAGTGGCAAAAGCTCTATGCCCCTTAGTCCTCCTCTTAGTATTTTTTATAGCAAGTAAGCCCTGATCAGATGACCTCAAAGACCTGCTAGGGACATAAGGCTGTAGCAGATCAAAGATGTAGGCAGGTGCCAGTCCGTGCACAGCTCTGTAGGTCAAGACCAGGATCTTAAAATCAACTCTAAATTTAACAGGAAGCCAGTGTAACTGAGATAATAACGGTGTCACATGTGAGTACTTGGAGGATTTTGTCAAAAGCTCAGCTGCAGCGTTTTGCACAACCTGCAGACGATCCAGAGAACCTTTGCTTAGACACATAAACAGCGAATTACAATAATCCAAGCGTGACGAAATAAATGCATGTATAGCAATCTCGAGTTCAGAGCGAGATAAAACCGGGCTTAGCCTAGCCACATTTCTCAAATGATAAAAACAAGACCGAACCAGAGATTTCACATGCCCATCCAATGTGAGACTCGAGTCAAAGGTGACACCTAAATTCCTGATAGAGGATTTAACATAAAGTGAGAGAGGACCAAGGGCTTTCACTATCTGCGATAGAAACCTATCAGGGGCGCATACGAGGACTTCGGTTTTCCCCTCGTTGAGTTGGAGGAAATTTGCAGCCATCCAACGTTTGATCAAATCTAAGCAATCATTCAGACGCTGAAGCTTAGATAAATCCTCGGGCATAAAAGAAACGTACAACTGAATATCATCAGCATAACAGTGATAAGAAATGTCCTCAAAAGAGCCCATTATATGCTGGAGGGGGAGAAGATAAATTAAAAACAATAAAGGCCCCAAAACTGACCCTTGAGGGACACCATAAGTAAGGGAGGTAGAGGATGACCTAAAATCGGAGACTGCCACAGAAAAGTATCGGTGATGGAGATAAGAGAACCACTCTAATGCAGTTTGTAGGAATGTTTAGCTTATTTTAGAGTTTAGAAATGTGTTATCATAGAATGTAGAACTATTGTAGAGATACTGACACTGCCCTCAATATAATAAAGGCCTCACTGTGTTGTGAACTTAGGAGTAGATTGTAGGAGACCCCTCCCCCACTTGAACTGTGAAAGTAAAACAGAGAGGAGTTAATGCTGAGTGGAAATTCCCCAGAGAATGTTTGGGTGGGGGTCTCAACATTTGTAACTGGATAACTGTGGTCTGGAAGGGAGATGGGTTTTATGACCTAGGGAGTCACCTACACCCACAGTGTTTTAACTGTCACGCACACACATCCACACGCACACTCACTCATGTGCACTCACACATACACACAGGTATGCGTACACAGTCACACACGAGCACTCACATAGACACGTGGGAACGCGCACATGTAGGCATTCATGTGCTCGTGCACATAGACACAGACACAGAGTTTGCAGCACACCGTGGGGGTTTTATGATAGGGTCGCCCCTACAAAACTGTGTTTCACAGACAAAGGAGTGAAGATTTGCAGAGGGACACACCGGCCTCGTCTTCCCTTCTAGAAGTGCATGCTTAAATGAAGATGAATAAAGATGAATAAAGGTTTTGTGAAATGACTACTGAGTTCCGGTGCCGTCTCTGGATGCCTCGACGAATAAAAGAACTGGGGTAAAACTGATTTCTTAACAAGTTCCAGATACACCAACCCATTTTTTCAGCCTTTCAATGAAGATGTGATGGTCAACTGTGTCAAAAGCTGATGTGAGGTCCAACATGAGTAGAACAGAGCATTTTCCTGCATCATTATTCATCAAGATATCACTTGAGACCCTAAGAAGAGCTGTCTCCGTGGAGTGAAATTGACGAAAACCGGACTGAAACTTATCATAAATGCCATGTTTGTCCAGAGCTGCCATAAGCTGCCTAGCCACAACCTTTTCTAGAAGCTTAGCGATTAACGGTAACTTAGAGATAGGTCTGTAGCTGCTCCAAAGAGAGGAGTCAAGCTGAGGTTTTTTTAAAAGTGGGAGAATAGCAGCGTTTTTAAAATAAACCGGAACTATACCAGATGCCAGTGAAGAGTTGATTAAAGTGAGCACACATGGGCCAATAGACTGGAAGCGATTTTTGAATAATGATGCAGGTATAATGTCAAGTGAACAGGAGGATGCTTTCACAGAATTCACTAATTTCACTAGCTCAGGTAGTGAAACCAGAGAGAAAGTATCCAAGATAATGGGCCGGGATGAGGTAGAGATTGAGATAACAGGTGAGTGTGTAAAACTCATTCTCACGTTACGAATTTTTGCAAGCAGAAAAGACATAAAATTTTCACAGTCCTCGTTAGAAAAAATAGGGGCCGCAGGCAGAGCAGGAGTAACAAAATAAATTAATATAGGCAATTTGAATTTCACAACAGCAATGTTTCAGCACTTACTGCCGTGTAACATCATCTCTTTTTAAACAACAGTCTGTAAACATCTGGGAACTGAGGAGACCACCTGCTGGAATTTTGAGACAGGAAAGTTGTCCCATTTTTGTTTGATCTGGGTTGGGGCAGCCGTGTTCAGCACCCAGACTCTACTCCTACATAGCCATGCTATTCTAACAAATACAGTATGTGGTTTAACATTTTCTTGCTGAAGCATGCAAGGCCTTCTCTGAAAAAGATGCCATCTAGATGGGAGGATATGTTGCACTAATACCTCTATATATCTTTTAGTATTGATGGTGCCTTTCCAGATCTGCAAGCTGACAATTCCATAGGCATAAATGCAACCCGACACCATTAGAGATGTAGGATTTGTAAGTAAGAGCTGATAGCCAGCCAAATCAAATCTCTCTCCTCTTTAGTCTGGGCAAAATTATCTGTAAAGACGAAAAGCGGTCTCACCAATGTCGTGGAGCCCAGAACATTGTCGAAGGGTCCGGTCCAAACCACAGGATTGGATTTGTACCGCTAGTTTGAAACTATGTACCAAGAAGTCAAAGGGAGGCAGAAATGTTATTGAAACAAATGCTTCAGGAACATTTTGTTTTTTATTAAAATTAATATTAAACGTTAACCAAATGCTTATTTGAAACAGTAAGAAAACAACCGATAAATCTGCTCATTCCTTTTTTTAAAAGCAGGAACACTCTGATTTATGGTTTAATGCTGTGTTTACAGTTCATCTGATTAGGACCATTAGCAACACGTAATTACCGTAACATGAAGGTCATGTTGACATCTCCAGAGAAACAGGTACAGAGCAGCAGGTCAGCCATCTTTATTTGATATGTGGGTGATTTATTTTTTTTTTTGAGTTAGAGCCTGTGGGTAAAGGTTGCATCTGTTTTTCTTGTCAGAACTAGTTCAAGTTTATGAGTAAATTGAGGTGTTACGTCCCTGCAGTGCCTCCCTTCATCTGTCACAGTTTTATCCCTGTTTTCTATCAGCGCCTCACCTTCTACTTCCACTTATCTCCCTCCAGCCAAATGTCT